GGTCTACATTCGTTAGGAAGGCAGAAGGCAGCATTTGGAGCAATGGGTAGAAGATACAAGGAGGAATATTGAGGCTTGATACAAGAAAAATTTCCTAACAATTAGAGCTCTCCTCAAATGTAATGGGCTGCATCTGCAGGCAGTGGAGGCTGGTTGAACTTTTGTTGGCTATATAATTAGAGGCAGTTGCCGTTCAGAAATAGGTTGAACTAGATGGTCTCTGAAGGTCTCTAAGCTTGAGATTCTGTGATTCTGAAGGTGAAATGGGTATAGAAGGGAAGAGGAAGGTAGCTGGTATTAGAATGGAAAGAGGGACAGAGGGAATTCTGGGAAGCCATTCAAGACCACATGGGAAATAACAGCTGGCTTGGGCAGGATTTGATAGGACATCCTGAGTCTGGGCAGAGGAAGAAGAGAGCACAATACATTCTTACTGCTCTCCCTTCCCCTCACCACCACAGTTAGTTAGCCAAGGGTTTTGACTACAAGACTTAAAACTTTATGCAAAGAGAAATCACCCATAAAGAACTGAATCCCAATTGGGTCTGGACAATTCTTAGAAAGCCATTTATTTGGGGTAGGAGATAACTGTTAAGAAATTTTAAAATCTAGAAATAAGTCTGAAACTGGTGACCATCAAGTACATTTCTCATCATCCCAGCCATCACCTACCTTGAACAGAGGTTTAATGTGAAACACTTAATGATCCATTATGAACAGAGTGATGTTCCAAACAGTGATGAGTAGAGCATTGGCTAATGGCTGGAAAAATGAAGAAGAAGAAGAGACCTATTATTGGCTCAGCCCTGGTATTCTCTGTTGTTACTTCTTCACTTAGACATAGGATCTCCTACTTTCATATTTTAGGGTATATAATGGAGGCAAATGCCTATGATTCAGTGAGATCTTAATTATAAGGAAAATAAAAGTAAGGAATCAGACCTTCAGAATCCAGTGGGTGTAATCTAGAAAGATGCTTATGGTTCTTTGGTCCAGTTATTGGACTGATGAATGTAGCAGCTGGGGTATGTCCTGCAAAGGGTGATTTGTACTAGCAAGGCCAAGTCTCAGCCAGACTCATTAGCTCTCCTGCAGAGGCAAGGTAGCCTGTGGTTCAATGGGACACTGATGGTCCCACTTTGCCAGGAATAATTCTGCAGTGGTGAATGAGAGCTTTCAATACCACCCCTTCACATCTGAGAAAAGTTGGATCTCCATTAAGTTAAGCTAAAACCTACAAGAAATAAATAGAGGACACTATTTCTTGTCCAGAAACCCTGATGACAGTCAAGGGAAAAGAATGAGAACTCTAATGGCAGAGGGCACCAAGGTTGCTAGCTGGGAAATAAAAGCTTTGGATAGGACTGACCCTCAGGTGAGGCATAAGCCCCTAGGAAAGAGAGTAACTAACCAATATTGTTGTTTATCTTTCATTTTGAAGGAGGATCAAGATCATCACAGGTGATGTCTTGATTTGCTCATGAATTGGATTTAAGTGAGGCAGAGTTGCACCAAGTCATTAGCCTCCCTCTCTCTTCCTGGGTCATCAAATCCAGTGTCAGGACAAAAGTCAAGACAACTAGTGATGGCCCAGGATGCAGAGGATCACCTCAAGATTTCTGATGTCTGACCAAGCTCTAAGTGTTCCACAGCACCTGCTTTAGCTGCCTTCATGGCCATTGTAACAAACTGTTCTCAGCCACTCATTCCACTGGGGACAGTCTTCACACGCTTGGGGTAGACATTTCCCCAATTCACCCAAAGGTCTGAGGCCTGTCGGTTACCACAACCTGCTTTGGCCCGTCTGCTGGGACGGCTTACCAAGGTGTGGTTCAATGGGACACTGATGAGACACAGGTGAGAGTTGAGTGAAAGTGGACATCAAAGGTGGATGATCAGCCCTGAAAAGGACTGGGCAAGCCTTCACAGCAGAGGTACTAGTCCTCCTGAATACCCCATACATCCCATCTAACCAACAGAGGGACGTAAAAGACAAAAAAGCCTTTAAGATCCAACAGAATTAGTAGCCAATGATAATAATAATGATACCCAGCACTTACATATTCTTTTAGTGATATGCCATTACATCCTCACGACAACCCAGTGAGGGCGGTGCTATTATTACCCCCATTTTACAAATGAGTAAACCGAGACTGAGGGAGGCTAAGTGATTTGCTCAGGGGCATGCAACTAGGAAATATCTGAAGTAAAATTTGAATTCAGGTCTTATCTTTCTGATTCCAAGACCAATGCTCTACCTTTATGTCATAGCTGCTTAACATTACAGAACATCAAGCATCATGATAGAAGGGCTGAGGAGAGATTTTGGAGGTAGGAAAACCGTCCTCACTACTTCTCATCACCCCATGTCAGCAGTCAGAGAGTCAGCAAACTACTCATCAAGCTAGCCTTGACCTTGAACACTGTAGGGGCACTGAGGCTATTTGGACTGTGACAACCGTTTCCCCATCAAGCAGTGTGGGTAAGGGGTAGGGAGGCTAGATCTCACTGGGGATTTGCAGGGTTGGAGGAAGGTCACACTGGGTTGTGTAGCTGAGAAGGTGAGTTGCCAACTCCATTTTCTGGGTAGAAAAACACTGCTAGGCCATAAGCTGTCCCCCCTGAACTCATCATTAATATGGAAGAGACCAGAGCAGGTTTCGTGCCAGCGAACAGCTGCAGGATGGCAGAATGTGGCCCCAAGCAAGAGAAAGCTAGCAGGCCTGGACCACAAGGGGCAGCTCAGCTTAACCCCTTGGCTGCTGGTTCTGCCTGCCAGCCAAGCCTCTCCTCTTCCAAAGGCAGCCACCATGGTCTCCAGGCCAGCAGGCCGGGGATGACAATGCTCCAGGTGCTATATCTAAGAAGTCTTTGCTGCCCCCGTTCCCAGGAAGACAGGGATTCACATTGAAAGGGATTTTAGATAATATCTAGTCTAATCCCATCATTTTATAGGAGAGGAAAGTTTGGGTCCAGAGGGGGAAGGAGACTTGCTTAAAGACGCAAAGGCAGAAACAGCAGAGCTGGAATCTGAACCCACTTCCTCCAACTCCAAAGCCATCCTCTTTCCACTACAGTGACTTTCTTTCTGTTTTTCCTGTGGTTGGGAGATTTTTACTAGCTGGAGCTACTCAGCCCCACAGTCAAAGGATTCAATCACTGAAAAAGTGAATAGATTTAAGGGGAAGTAGAAGTCTATCTAGGCTCCGAATTACATTGATTCTGTGACCTGGGGTAAGGTTCACTTTATATTATGGAGACATTACTCTGCCCCTCTATGCTCCATCCTACTCCCAACACATATCATTTTGGAGGAGAAATAAAGAGAGAAGATAGTAAATGAAACACTTGTCGAACCTATCCCCAAGAAATCAGGCTACTGGGTACAGGGTCCAAGAGCGCCATCATGCCACGCTGTATTTGCACTGGTTGCTCCCTAGGTCTGGGGTTCTCTCCCTTCCCATCTCTTCCTCCTGGCTTCCCTGGCTTCCTTCACATCCCAAATAAAATATCTCCTTCTACAAGAAACCTTTCCTGAGCCCCTTAATGCTAATGCCTTTTCTCTGTTGATTATGCCCAAATTATTCCACATATATCTTGTTTATTCATTGTGGTTTGCATATTGTCTCTGCCACTAGACAACGAGCCCCTTGAGAACAGAGACTGGTTTTGTTCTTGTTTTTGTTTCGTTTTGTTTTGCTTTGTTTTTGCCTTTCATTGTATCCTCAGCACTTCTCACAGTGCCAGGCACATAGTAAGCACAATAAATGCTGGTTGCTTTGAAGCTACTGTTCCTCTTTCCCTGACTGGAAAGGGCCAATGTGCTTATCTTTAGCCTAGGTTACTGGTCCCCAGGCCACCTAGGGATGTTGTGTTCTGAACAGATGCTAAGAATTGATAGCATGATTATCATAGATTTAGAGCTGGAAGGGACTTCAAAGACCCTCTAGGCCAACCTCTGATTTTACAGATGAGGAACTGAAGCCAGGAGAGATGAAGTGATGTGTGCAGGATCATACAACTGGGAGGTGATGCAGAATTTGAACTCAGGCCTTCCTAACTCCAAGCCCAGCATTCTATCCATTTATTATATCCTCTTGGCCTTAACAAAGAACTGAGAAGCACTGGCCAAGCCTGGAGGCAGCACTGCCTGTAAGGCTGTGGCATTAAGTAAGAAAGCAAGGGCAAAGGGGAATCTGCCTTCTCCATCATGATCTTCTGGGAAAATTTGCTTCCTAGTGAAGAAAGATATACCATCGGTCTTTATCCTAAGTGTTCACTTCAGTAACTCAACAAGTAAATGTTTGCACTGAGGACAAAAGATAAAATTTATATAATATCTACCCTTAGGAAGCTTGTTTTCTTATATTCAACTGGGATGAAACCAAGGCATTTTTAGTTTTCTTCTTTGTTTCAAACACAATTGCATGCTATTTGTTGAGCCTCTATTGTGTGTCCTCATTAGCTGCATTGAAAAATAGAAAGGAAGACCTAGTCCCTATCTTTAGTATATCTTTAATAATCAGGGTGGGAAGAAAAAACATAAGCATATGTAAAGATAACAAATTATACTACATGATCCATGCAAATGACCCAGTGGGGGCACAGACAAGAAAGGGAAAGGTCACTGGGAGTTGGAGGGTCTGAGAAGGCTTCAGTGAGGAGGTGGGACTTCATCTGGGCCTCAAAGGATGGGTAGTATATGGATAGACTAAGAGAAAACAGAATAGCATAGATGAAGGTGTAGAGGTGAAAAAGACCAAGGGGTCTTGGGGGACAGTGAATTCAACAAGTCTAGCTGGTCTAGCCACTGAGAATGGCGAGGGCTGAGAGCCTGGACGTTATCCTGCAAGCAATGAGAAGGACATCATTAACCATTCAAGCTAAAAAAGCAAGAAATGGCAAACTTTTGGAAGACAGGGGGACAGGAGGGGATGAGAGTTCCCAACCCCCACCTACACCATCCTTCATGGGTTTTTTGTTTTGTTTTGTTTTCATAGGAAATGGAGCCAATGGAGAGCTAGAGACAGAAAAATCTGACCAAACCTGGTTTTAAGAGCACGTCCTTTGAAAAGAGGCTCATCTCCTTATTAGTTCTCCAAGCAGCATGTCCTCTCTAGATCAAGACTCAGACAGAAACACAATGGCCACAAAGTAGTTTTTTGTGTCTTGGTTTCCATGTCCTCCCACCTTCCCCCCCCCCAGCCCCCACCAAATAGATATTACATGTTATTGGTGTAACTAAAGAGCCGCAGGTTCTGTTGGTGGGAGGGCACCTCTCCAGCTACACTCTTCCCCTTTCTCCTTCAAATTTACCCGTTTGTGGGTCTCCGGAAATCTTTCATCCCATCAATATTGTAAGAATTCAAAGTCAGGAAGCACATGTTGTCAAAGCCGCCTTGATCTGAATAGCTCCCCCCTCTGGCCCCCCGCACCCCACTTTCTCCTTAAATGAGTTGTTAACAGGAACCGAAGTGTCTGTTGAACCTAAAATACTTTATAAAAAATAATACGAAAAAAAAAACATTTAAAGGTAACTTACGGCGCACACTTTAAGAAACGGCTACTCAGCGTGGGCCCCGGCTGCTGCCTCCTTGATGCTATGGCTGGGCTGTAGGAGGGATCCAATCAGACAGGCCGCCGCTGAGGGCTGGGGAAGGAGAGCTGCGGTGATTTTTCTATTAGATTTGAGCTAAGACCATGAAATGTAAGGCAGGGGGAAAAGTGTGTGTATAGCTTGAATAATGACTCGCACTAATTCATAGAATTTCATTTTGGCCATCACACACACACACACACACACACACACACACACACACACACACACACACACACAGAGCTCCCTTTTTCTATAGAAGGCCACTTTGAAAATCCTGATTTCTTATGTCATTTTCTTCCCCTAGGGGGTCAGGCCTTCTAAAAATATTCCCCATTTCTTGCACCCCAGAGGCAAATTATTTATGTTAAAGTAGATTCGTTATCCTGGACACACCGGGCCTGGCTTGGAAAGTAAGGTGACTTCAAGACGACGCCATTGTCAACCATTGTCAATGGCAGAGTGCTTAGGAGGAAGCCAACAAAAGGCTGGTGGAGGATTCCCTGAGACTCTTTGGGCCCAGCCAGGTTGTTCTCAGTGAAACATGGGGTCTGCAAGGGAATGCTTCGATGACCTGGCTTCACTTGATCAAGAATGAAGAATGAAGACACATAGGGAAATGAGGAAGATCAGACTCCCTTTAAAAGAAGTACTGCAATCCCCCATTTCTACCTCCTCTCTTCTCCCTTTCTGTCTCTCTCTCTGTCTGAAAATGCAAGTAAAACAGTCACCTCTGAAAAGTCATCAGGTAGGGGAGATGTTTTAAATGTAAGGAAAATCCTGGCATTTGTCTGGTAAAGTGATTTTGTCTCTGTCCTTTCATCATTATTGAGTTCTATCTCCTCAAGGTTCAGAGGGGCAAGGAATCAAAAAAGGAGGTGGGGTGAGGGAGAAGAAGAGAGAGAGAGAGAAAAAGAGAGAGAGAGAGAGTTCTCCCTAGAGAATGGTATCCATTCTATGAATGTCCATAAGGCAATTAAGTCTTTCATTTGGAAACATGAAGGATTTTATAAGATGAGCCAATCAGTGTGTCTTTGTAATGAGAAAGAACTCAGCACTTGAAGTCTCTGTTTCCCAGTGCCTTAAGTAGTTTGGTTTCTAAAAAGCGATTTTCTTGTATTCTTAAAGAAGCACTCTTTTCTTTTATAATGCTTTGGCATATGTTGCTTTTATACAACAGATACTTCTCCACCAATACCCAAATATCATCCCCCACCCCAACAAAATACATTTTCCCCAAACAGTTAAGCAAAACCACCAAACAACAAGATTACAACTGGTAACCCAACTGGTAACCAAGGATGGATGGCTGCTTTAACTGGGATAGTATGGTACCAGGCCTGTCAGTTACATGTGACCTCCGCTTGGTCTCTTTTGTGTCTTTACTTAAGCGGTTGTATTCATTGTACATTCTGGTCTTAGATGGCTTCTTTCTGCATCTCACTGTGTGACTGAGTGGCTGGGGTTCTTGCGGACGTCTCGTGGGATTTCCTGGACTGTTAGAGAACCCCTATAGGAGCTCTCAGGAATTCACCTGAGACGACATAGGCACAGTCTTCAAAGCTCCAAAATCATGTGTGGCTGAGGGAGCTATAGAGATTGGGCTGTGAATTTTGTCTGGCCACTGGCCATCTAATAAAGAGGAGGGTGGGATGTGACTCAGAGCCAAGGGAAGGGATCTCTCAGAAGCTAGAAGCTGGGGGCCAGCAGATGATGAAAAACCTTCTGTGAACCAGTCCCATTACTAACTAGCTATGTGATTAAGTCTTTATTATTGGTCTAATTGGATGGTTAATTATTAGGTCGTTACGGTGTATAGCAATGAACCAGCAGTGTAGGCAGCCCCATCACAGCCCTCTCTGATCAAGCACCTTTTCATTACAAACCATCGAAGAGGATTACCTCCACCAAGTTACTCAGCCCCCACCAGTAGTCTGGTCATTTAACAAATCATCAGAGCTTGTGTGCAGGAAAAGGGTTAGGGGGCCCAAAGGCAGCAAGAGCAAGACAGTAAGTTGCGGCATCTCGCCTTTTTCTTCTCAACATTTAGATTCACCGTTCTAATCAGAGTACAATCTGAAGCACTGACCTGGACTTTGGAAAGTGAGGTACAGTGGAAGGAATATTGGTTTTGGAGGCAGAGGATCTCTGTTAAAATCCAAGATGTTCCACATCCTGCCTGTCACATAGCCCCTCTTTGGCCTCAGCTTCTATATTTGTGAATGAGGAAGGATGGGACTAGAAAACCTCTAGAAGGTACCTTCCAGCCCTAACTTTACAATCCTATGAATAAATGTCTCTTTCCTTATCCACCACCAGGCCAGGCTTTGGGAAGGGTCCCAATTCTTTGATTACCTGATGAATTTTTTTTAATATGGTGGAGCTTCCCCTTACTGTGGCTACATTTATGAAACACACATTTTTGTGCTTCTTAGTAATCAGATTGGCAGTGGGAAATACACTGCATTTGGGATGACCCATTTTGGAACAGCCTACCGATTGCCCATAGATCCATGCTCTGACAATCACTGCCTTAGTTGAAAACATCCAGTGGACCATGTGCATAGAAAGGGAAAGAAGAAACACAGTAGTGCATGGGGATCCCAAATTACAGGCAGAGAGCCTTGGATTATTCCAAATTGGCCACACCAGCCTTCTCAGAAAAGAACCTGAGTGTCTGCAGTAATTCAAGGCTGTTCATTCCCTGTTATTGTCCTCCCAGACTTTAATTACACACTATCTCACACCCTAAACAAGCAAGGGGTTTGGCTGTGAGTCATTGTCACTAACAAGTTAATTACAATTGTGGAACCAGTCTCCCCCTCCCCCACCCCCAAATCAAAGCCTTTTCACAATGACTTGGGGACTATGGAAGGAAAATTGCAGGCGGTAAAATGTGGTGGTGTTTTTTTGGTTTTTTTGGTTTTTTTGCCTTCTCAGGCAGCAAGAGGGGTAAAAAAGTTGTTTTGTTTAAAGAAAAACCACAACTGTACTTTGATGCTAAGTTTGTTCTCTTTCAAAGAAAAATTTTTTTTGAATGAAATAGAGCGTAGAGGATAATATATACTGTACATGTGGAGTGATACAATGTACACCAGATGGCAACAACAGGCAGAAAGACAAAGCCCAGCCATCTAGGAGCCTCAGATTTAGGGGAAAGGGGGGCACCCCAAATAACTGACTGAGTATGATGCTCAACCTGGGCCAAAGTTGGGCTTCGTTGTTCAGAAGAAGGAGATTCAAAGCTCCAACTTGGTGACTTCCAAGTTTAAGGCTGGAAGGGACCCTAGACATCACTGAAGAACCAGCTCTGATCATCTTTCTCCTCTGCTCAGCATCCTTAAATGGGTGTCTATAGCCCACTAAGAACGAAGCAAACTTCAAAGGCTAACTGGACACTCAAGGCCTTCTAGGACCTGTACCAATCTCCCTGGCCAGCCCAGTCTCATACTGTTCCTCAGCACAGACTCTTCACTCCTATCAATTTGGGCCATCGACCAACTCTGGACAACTAACTAGCCTAAATTGGATCTGGGGTAATTTATTTAGAGGTAGGGACAAAGGGGAGCAGAGAACAGTCCCACTGTGGGGGAGTCCGCCAGAAGGACTGACCCGTCTCTCAGAAAAGAAAAGCTACACTCTGGGCCTCTGTATGATCAGGAAGCGAGGTACAGAAGTGGGAAAGGTCCCTTTTTGCAGGTCAGCACACTGAAACAAAGCCCCATTTACTCCATGTTAGTGACTGCTTTGCTTACTTGCCACTCCTTGAACACCCTGGTTCTATCCAGCCTCTGCTACTCTGAGCATACTGTTCCTTCTACCTGGAATGTCTTAAAGCCTATACAGCCTACAAAATCCAATTCAAATGCCATCTTCCACTTACTACCCATGTGTCCTGGGGCAAGTCCCTTCCCCATTCTGGTTCCCAGTTTATCCATCATGAAAATGATGAAGCTATCCTATACAGCCTTTAAGTTCCCTTCCAGATCAGAAGCTTTCCCTAATCAAACCAATCCCTTTTTGGAATGCTATTACTCTCCATGCCCTCAGTGCCTTGCTCAATTTCTGGGCCATTTAATAAATGTCTGTTGATAGATTGTTCCTGTCTTGTGGCACCCATCCCATGTGACTTTTATTGTCATTATCTTTGCAGCTTTTCTCTCCTCCACTGGATTGGGAGGTTCATGAGGGCAGTGACTATAACTAATTCACCTCTATATCCTCAACAATATCCTGCATATAGGAAGCATTCAATAAATACTTAATGAATGAGTACATACAGGCATATTGTTGATGTTGAGTCTTTTCAGTTTTGACCTACTCTGTGACCCTATTTGAGGTTTCCTTGGCAAAGATACTGAAGTGGTTTGCCATTTCCTTCTCCAGTTCATTTTATACATGAGGAAACTGAGGCAAACAGGGTTACATGACTTGCCCAGGGTCACACAGCTACTGTCTGAGGCCAGATTTGAACTCAGGAAAATGAGTCTTCCTGGTTCTGAGCCCAGTGCTCTATCCATTGCATCACCACT